CACCATGGCAGATAAAGATGAATGGTCACATTATCAAGAAAAAGCCTTAGTGTCTGAAAAAGTTATAAATAGTGGCATTGTTGTCATGAGGCAGAGTATTGACATCCGTATTTGTAATTACAATTTACTAATTTAAAGTTTTTATTTTAACAAAACTATTATAATGTTAATTTATTTTTTAAATAGATTTCTAAGTGCACTTTGATTATGTAGTATCTTTATTTTTTCTCATATTTGATCAAAGCTATTAAAAAATCTATATGTCAGATGTTGCAGGAATGAGAGCATTTCCATTGCAAAGAAGATGCATAAGGATCCAATTGAAGTTATTCAAGCCATTACTAATGATCCAGACTTATAAGTTGCTTCAGAGTTGTCAGATTATTCAGATACAGGGGATGATGACTTTGTAATTCCACCTCCCCGTTATTGCTAAAAAAAACTTAGTAGTTGAGTTAAATTTTATGCAGTATGTATATGAAATGTATGTATTTTTGATTTATTTTATGCAGTATTTTGTATGAATTCCACCTCTCCGTTATTGCTCAAAAAAACTCAGTCCTTGAGATTTACTAGTGCTAATGTTATGGCATTGTGCATATGCCATATGTCTATTTACAAAGCCCAATTCACAGACATGTGAATGAGTTTTACCCATGTGATGATTTGACAAAAGGGACTTACACCTCTCTCTCTTTGGCAGGAAGTGGGGTGTTTTGCATAATAGTTCATGCACCTAGCACCACTATTTTTAACTTTAGCCATGTGATGATAAGATATGAAAGTGGGTTGCTTTTGTTTATCTACAAGAGCTGATTTATTCAGTAAGAGTCCCATTCTGTGTCTAGCCATGTGATTGAACAAAAAGCCAAATAATGTAAAACAGCCTTACACCATGGCAGATAAAGAGGTATGGTCACATCATCAAGAAAAAGCCTTAGTGTTTGAAAAAGTTATAAATAGTGCCATTGTTGTCATGAGGCAGACTATTGACATCCCTATTTGTAATTACAATTTACTAATCTAATGTCTTTATTTTAACAAAACTATTATAATGTTAATTTAATTTTTAAATAGATTTCCTCCTATAAATTATTTATATCATTTGGATAATCTTTAAATTATTTCATCCATCACTTTTTCAAGTTGTGCATGAATGGTGTCTGCCTATCACTACAACAAAAAATTCATTGTACATTAAAAAAATTCATCATTTACTAAAGTTCCAAAACAATTCACCATTCATCAATGTTCCAAAACAGGAACAAAATCTTCTAGCACTGCTATTTACCAAATTTATAAACCTTCTACCACTTGAGTTTCAGTCTGCACTTGTAAAAAAATCACCTCATTGTCCATGGTACAAAATCCAAGCAAGTAGCTGCATCACACAAGTCTCAAATTCAGTATGCTAATCAGAAAAAGGAACGAATAAGATTGTCATTTATGAATCAAATAGATATCATCATCATTGACAAACAAAATGTAGCGAAGAAACTACTACCAAAACGTACGAACAAAATAACATACATAAATAAACAAAACCAAGATAAGAGAGCCTAGTGCTAATTTGGGCAGTAGGCAACTTAATTCCGCCTACTCCTGATAAACAATACTGCTTTCCCATACAATTAATTTGGGTAATGGAGGTCTAAATCCCCGTGACCCGCCTAATTTAATTCCAAAGGTTTTGTATTTTCATATAAATTTTGGTATACACCCAGAAAGACCAATTAATTATATTGGATTCTCAAGTACAAGTATAATTTAACTTGATTATCAGTGAACAAGATATGTAAGTAGTAATAGACTAAATAGTAAAGGGAACCAAGATCCAGTATAGGATATTTTCAGCAAGGGGTAAGAAAACAGGATCATAAAAGAACTGGACAAAGAAACTGCAACTATATTTCAAGATTAACCAGTTAAACATCACCTTTTGAGTCTTTAATTTCTTTAATAACCCTACTTCGGGATCACTCCTACACCAACACAGTTATTTTTTTATTTTTTTTTTTAGTATTTTCTTCAGCAGTATCCTAAAGCCATCATCCATACCAAGACAGTTTTTGGTTTCTTTTAATTTTCTAATACAGTTTTCTAATACAGTGTGTGATTGTTCCAATCAAGAGAACCAACCCTTGAACTATGCCCGTCTTGCAAAGTCCTCAGCTGTTCAGAAAAACCAAGAAAATTAGAGTACAGGATGGAGAGGTGGCACCAGAAAAATCAAATCTAATGCCTAGATCATGAGAAATGTGACAATTTGCAATAAATACATTTCATTTCACTCCAAATAAAGAATATAATACTCTTAGTTCTAATATTTGTTTTCTAAAATATAGGCCAACTATACAAGCCATAATCCTTCATAGTAGTTCACTTTATGCATTATATCAGTATAATAAAATCTTTAATGATACATGCCTCATTCAACCTTGCACTTCACCACTAAACTGGACTTTGTTCTCTTCCAAACTAAATAAAACGTAAAAGAAACTACCAACTTTATCAGAACTTAAATGGGATATAAAAATGCATCTTGTGTTGCATTTAAACCCATGTTTTTCTTTAAGTTTTTCTTTTTCCACACAAAATGCAGTTAGAGAAACTGACAGAAGCCCAATTTCTTCTTAGCACCTACATATCATGGAAAACATGAGTTCATGAAATATCAAAGAGCAGAGTTCCTGGTTTGTAGTTATTCAGTTGAACGTTTCGTTCCTCCAACCACTCGGGCTGTGAGTGCCTCTATTCTTTATTTTTAGGCTTTTTCGTCTCTGATTTAAATTTTCTTTCAGCGAGAATGTGTTTTAAATCTTATTGTTTATCATCTCATTTTTTGTAATAAAATTTTTCTTTATTGACCAGGGTTTCTTACAACTAGTCAAAAATGCTTGTCATCTTTTTTTAACAGAACAACATTAAAAAAGAATGCCAACTTTTCACCATGCCTCATCTAATTACTTACAATAATCTGTTCAAAGAAACAAAAGCATAAATGATCAATAAAATAGAAAAAACGAAAGCATAATTAAAAGAAAACTCTTACCATCCGACAAGATGAAGGGTCCAACAGCAAGATGTACTCCATCCGGAGCCCATCTGACACTTGTCACATGCCCAATTTCCTCATCAATCACAACAAGTGCAGAAGTAGCGCCATTAGCAGCATTCCACAAATATACTGAATTCCCAAGAGCGATAGCGACAATGTTACTGCTACTCCAATCCAGTAAATTCAAATAAAACTCATCTAGGAGCTCAGAAACAACAAGAATCCTTTCTGGAGACTGTTAAATTACCAAACAAACACATGTCAACAAGAAAGCAATCAATCCAAAACACAAATCAATTGTATGAGAGCTTAGCAACAAGAAGAAGAAAAAGGAAAGAAAGAAAACCCACTTGGGGAATCTATCTCCTAGACTTATTCTTAAAAGCAAGGATCCTCTTCCTGTAAGCTTCTTTGGCTGGAGAGCATGGTGTTGGGCTTTCCTTTCTTACCATCCCACCGTTGAGCATGTAATGTACAAAATCAAAATCCATTGCAGATCGGTTGGGAATAAACCTATCCAGCTGCCATCCCAAAAGAACAAGATTAGTGTGAATTTCCAATAAAACCTATATATATATATATATAAAGGCAAAATGACAGGAAAAAATCAGCCATAGAGTTTAAAACCCAGGAGCAAGATTAGTGTGAAGCCTATTGCGATGACAAAAGAAGGCAGGCAAAGATATTAAAAAAAAAATTAAATAAATAAAGAGAGTATATTTTGAAATGTAATATTTTCTTTATATGGAACACAAAAACAAAACCTGAAACTATCGTTACTGTCTTCTACAACTATTTTGGTTCCTTTCGAGTAAAAATTCTTTGTAATCCAAGACAATAGGACATATGATAATATTACATTATTATCTATTTTCCTCACTTAGAAACCTAACAACTGGAGAAATGAAAATGCTTACCGGTTCACCTTATAGCCTGTTGGCTTATGGTTTGAATTATAAACCCACTGGTCAAGGTTCGAGACTGGTATATATAGAGAGGAAGCTATATGAGAAGTCACAGATGTTAGATTGTGAATCTTTTGGTCATTCAACCCAATCTTGCTCTTCTAAGCCCACTACTAAGCATACACAAAAATGGAGAATGAAGGAGGACGGCTAGACCTAATTCGAATTAGTGGGAGGAAGTTATAAGGGGAAAGGGAGAAGTGTTGTGGATCCCCCCAATGAGGAATTGTGAAAGGAAAGCCCTAAAATGGCTATACCTATTGCTTCATTATCAAATATATTTGAATTCACTTCTTCTTTTGATGTGTCTTTGATCACAATCTCATTGCACCTCTCTCAAGAGATTATGGGACCTATTGATTATTTAAACTTTATTGGGTCTATTTCTCTGAATAAAGAAAGAACTACGTAAATCCAATTTATACAAATAGAAACAAAAACATATTGAGTGTGTTTTCCCTGAATCTTCATGTTGAATCCCATGGAAATCCAAACCAAGAAACCTACAGGACTATGACTTAAAAAATTATCTAATGATGTCAAAAATTCTAGTCGTGCAGAATCTATACAAGTTGAACAAATAAACCCTAAATTCCTGAAAACTCATATTCGTAGACAATAAACCATCCAAATATGCTAAAGAAACCCTTACGTGAAAAAAAAATCAAAATCCAAGAAATTAATGGGAACATCAACCACAAAAATCTAAAGATATTGCAAACAACACTAGATATCGTCTAAAAAAAAGAAACATTCAAATAGTAGACGAAGAAACCGTAGTTCACAGTAAATCCAAAAGTCCAACAAATTCACGAAGACAAACAAAAGAAAGAAAATCAAAAGGAATTCGATACAAAAGCTAAAAGAATTTAAACTTTTCTCATTTTCTTGAATTCATTGCAACGAAATAGAAAGCCAAAAATATCAATTGGTTGGCGAACATACATAAACACACACAAGCAGATGGAAACACATACTTTTTCGCACAAATTTTGCCTTCGAAGTTTCTGATCGGAGAGAGGGAATCGCGACATTTTTGTGTCCAATTCCTGAATCCAAAATTGATGTTTTAGGAACAGCATATATATATATATATAGGGATCAAAATTGTATAAAAACAGAGTAGAAATCCTAGCAAAACGATGAACAAGACTAGAGAGAGAGAGAGCAAGAGAGCGTTGATGAATGAGTTGGGTTTAAGAGAAAATTAGCAAAACCTCCACATATCAACATGTACGAAGAACGTGAGAACTTGCATTAACTCATTAAACAACATATCAACAACTTCTCCTCCACAACAATCAATCAAAACCTCCACATACGATGATCCCATACTCCCATGCTTTCAACATTTTAAAACAAGAAAAAAAAAAATGGCCTCCACATGGGCCGATGTAGCAATAAGGTAATAAAGTTCAAGATACACCATAAAATTGGTCACTTAAAGGCATGTGACCCCCCCGAGTATGAGTATAAAAAGCATTACAAATGTGCAATCATAAAAGATTTTTATCGAACATAAAGACCATATAACTTACAAATTTGATGTACTTGATAGCCATGCAATCGACGCTCCCGTTGTTATCTCTTCCCAGCCCCTAGCGGGAAGACTACATTTGAAGTACATGCAAATCAATTAAACAAAATATAACACCAAAATATTGTACAAGTGGAGATGGTTAAATGAAAAAACTCAAAAATAAGGGACATATGAGCAGACAACTTTTTTATTAGGCGCTAGTAACCAAAAGCAAGACTCTAAACAAAATAAATAAATAAATAGGGTAACAGTAGTCAACTAAGATTATAGCAAAATCCTTTTTATTATTGTTTCTTTATTTTTTTATTCTATCAAACATGATTGGACAATTTGGACCACAAAAAATCAGAAGGAAGCCCAAAAATCTATTTGAAACAATTTTTCCCAGAAATACATACTTCCCTTTGAAAAATCAATAAAAAAGAAATTCTCAAACAATTTGCATGAAACCAAGTCCATTGGAAGCTTAAACACACAATTTTTCTTCTATCAATTTAAATCAATAAATTTTCTTACCGATTAAATAAGGTTTGAAGGAAAAGATAGGAAAAATTCTGCTTACAAAACAAGGATCACAGCATGTTAAGATTAACTTCAAAAATCCATACTAATTTCAAAACCCAATCAATTTGAGCCAAAACAAAAACCTGTAAACTCATTAATAATAACTGATATCACATAATTTGAAGTGATTATTGTCAATTATGCTCGTGAGTTTGAAACGTATTCGTTCACGTGATCTTTTGGACATTTAATAGAGAAACAAACAAGTCTTTTTCTTTGTCATTGTATAAAAAAGAACAAGTGATAAATACCAAAAAGTGCGATACATACCTCATCGGTTCGCAACACAACAAATTGGTCTCTGCTGGTTATATGTGACAACACCTCACTTCAGGGACGGATATAAGTCCAAAATCCTTAATAAAGTAGTCCCCAAAGGCTCTAGACATTGCCAATCTGGGGCATTCCTCATTCGGCAGCCAAATTTTATGCACCACAGGCTTGTCGTTTAAACTGAACACTCTTCCTTTGTACTGATTTATCCATTCAGCCTCATCTGTCAAACAATGTTGATTATGTAAACACAATGTTCATATAATTTTTGAGACACAAAGAAAGTGAGGAAGAGAGAGACTCACGAGGTAAATTGTGGTTGAAATAACAGTCATAATGCAGTAGGGGAGCTCCAAGGAATTAATAGTGAGGAAACAAGTCATAATGACTTTAATATGATGTTATTTTCCTAGCCTTCCGTAAGCATGTAACATGTAAGCCCGTCCATTGTCACATAATCCCATAACCTCCTTGCTTTCACGACCCTCCAGCTGCCAGAAAACTCACACACCTATGATTTTTAAATAACACTCCACATGAGACTCATACGAGGACCCAGGAAAATAATTTCAATACCAAAATAAACCACCAGACGAATAATACAGATTCAACTTAGAATAAGTTACATCATACTTAGAAATGTTTTCTAAATAAGTTAGAAATACTATCACAACATAGTTATACTAATGCAGTAGGGGAGCTCCAAGGAATTAATAGTAATTACAAAATAATTCCATATTTAAGGCCTTAACACCTTACAAAATAACTCCACTAGAATTAGCAATTATATAACTATTCTATCCAGGTATAGGAGCCTTGCACTTTCGACGATTATGACCATTCTCGCCGCATCGCGAACAGTGTAACGACCTTACATTTTGAAATTATGATTCGATTCGTTTAATACGAGGTCGTCCAGGGGGACGTGTTACCGCAGGAGGCCTAAGATGGGAAGCACCTTCACTGTCAGCAGCAGCAACAGCAGCTGCATTCGGCATATCATGCATGGGGACAGAAGACATGAGATGTTCACATAGTTTTTGTTGTGTTTCAACCCTAAACCATGGATCAACCATCTCATAAATATTTAAAGATAATTCATGGATGGCATAGCATGCATGCGAACAAGGAATCCCACTCATGGTCCACTTCAAACAACTACAAGAATTTTCACTGCCAAATACCACCCTGAATGGTTTTCTGTCTCGATCATATATTGTACACTCAGTAGGTGAAACACGCATCGACTGAAAACCAAGAGCTAACTCTTGCTCTTTTTTTATTTTCTCCTCAATACGATCCCCAACCGGGATAGTCCACTTCTGAACGTCCAAACTCTTTTGGTATAAAAATTTGCTGAGTCTTTGCATGTGTGTATCTATCAACCTTGTGATTGAAAAAACCCTCTCTTCTTTCACCCATGCATTGAAGGACTCTGCTTGATTGGTGTATAATTTATCCCAACGCTTGGGAGTAAACATAGCATTTGACCAATGTTCAGGTGAATTCGCCAAAACCCAATCGCATAACTCCCCTCGAAATACCCGCATGCAGCCAATGCATTCTTATACTCATCTACAGTTCGAGCATATGCAATTTTATCGAGTAATTTTTTCGCATGCTCTTTACCCGAAGCCCTCAATCCTAAACTTTGTCTCCCAAGAATGGATGTAGAAAAATTCGCCGTTAGGTGACGAAGACACCATGAGTGGTACTGGGAGCCAAAAATATCTCTAATACAACTTATTAGGCTCGGATGCCTGTCGGTTAAGATTGTCACAATGCGACCATCTAGAATCTCTTTCACCTTGCTCAAGAACCAATGCTAATCATCATCATTCTCAGAAGAAACAACAGCATACGCCAAAGGCCACAAGCCATCATTCGCATCGAACCCCGTTGCACCAAGCATTGTTCCTTTATAATTGCCACTCAAGTGGCAAGCATCGATTGCTAACATGGGCCTGCAATAGTTGATGAAACCTCGTATGGAGCACCCATAAGCTACAAACACTCACTTAAATCTCCTATCATCCGTGCACTCCCACGATGTAATTGTCCCAGGAATATATTCTGCTATTCGTTCACACAACCACGGGACTAAAATATAGCTATCCTTGGGATTTCCCTCAATGATATGACGTGCACACTCCTTAGCTCTCCACGATTGCATGTAAGTCATTTTAGCAGAAAATTCACCGTTTATGTCTGTGGAAATAGTCTTGGGGTTGCATTTAGGATTGTCCCTAACCTTGTTCACAATAGCTCGACCCATTTCCTTCGACCAAAAAATGGCTTTATAATCTGAAATGTCTTGAGCAGTGTGAGTGTGAACATTATTAAACCGCTTGATTCTCACTATATCACCACTTCCTTCACAACCAGCTGATAATTTCCATGGACAATTATTAACCTCGCACACAACTCTATAATATTTTCTGCTATTGTCCAAGTACTTGAACCGAAAATGATTACGAAGACCAAACAAAACGAGTGCATCTTTGAAATCATTTGGGCTGTCAAAAAGCTGATCCACGCAAAGAATGTCATCAATGTGTCGGAAAGAATCCCGATGCGCATTTATCGGAGGAAATGAAGACGTTGACGCAACACTTTGTAGAAGACCAATTGGCGATGTGGCTTCAACAAATTGTCTACAAGTGGATAAAAAGGTATATTAAAAATCACATAACCTATGCAGCGCATACATCAATGTATTACTTTAAATATATGTGTCTTACCTCTCACTATGATCAGTAGGAATTGTGCATGATGCAATTACAGGCTCTGCATCTTCCATATACACATTTAGCATGGGACCACTCACTACAAGCATCACTCTAAATCCAGATTCTCCCGTCATCCTCAAAAGCTCATTCTTGTTAGATTCGGTGGTATAATATATGACTTTACCACTCATGTTTGAAGATGAACGTTGTTGTAACTCATTTATAAATGATTCGTATGTTGTTGTTGTTGTTATCATAAAAGGGTCTGTGACACCGCCGATGTATATAATTTCCCCATTCTCATTTTTGTCAATTTTCCCATCAAATCGACAATAGCATATAATTTGTCTCTCATCCATTTGTCTAACTGCTTCGAAAATTGACTCATTAGTTTAAAAAAAAAAAAAAAAAAAAAAAAAACTAAATATGAAGTTCAAAAAATAATGAAATATAAAACAATTAAATATCATAATTATATAATGTAATTTAGAGATCTATTTACAGCGAAACACTACTAATTCCCTCAATAAGGATAGGCGGTGTCAAGATTAAACTTTTCCTAAACACACACTACAGACCTTTTTCAAATCAAAATACAACCACAAAATCAATGCCATTGATTACTAGATAATTGTATCACTATGTGTACAACAAACATATATACAAGATGAGGGAGATTATGAGATGAATAGAGAGTTAAATGGGACAATATAGATTGAAAATAAAAAATTGAGAGTTAAATAGAGAGAGAGCAGAGTGTTGAATATTTTTCACACACAAAATTTATATGTGTAAGTCTTGAAAATGGGGGAGACAAGTACAAGGGAATGTTGGAATAATAAATTAATACTAAATACATTTTTTTGATAAATTAATGCTAAATACATATATTAAAAAAGCCTCATTTATAGAGTTTGCTAGCTTTTGCATCAATTCTATCATGTGCGTAGATGCCTAAAGACATATTACACAGAGGTATACTCTACATGCCATTTGAGAAAGAGGCAACAATCTTGAATAATTCTTGATCTAAATTGAGTTATAATAATTAATTATACATAAAAACTAATTGGACTACCTATGTGTTGGTGGCTTTGAATTTTAACTCCTAAATTCCTACGTTCTGCTGAGGATTTAGTCTGCAGTCATCAAAGAGCCTTGAATATATAGCTTGAATGAAAAAAGCTACCAAAACAAATAAAATCATTCTTCTTTGGCCCTCTGACTATGTGGGCATGGAAGATTCCCGTAAATAGTCTGGTTATCTTAAAATTGAACAAATTGTTAAGTTTCAGAATTCTTTCTAATCGGAACCATTTTTTATTTTTTGTATTACTTACTTTTTCCACTTCTATTACCACCCTTCCCCATCCAAGAGACTCAGCTTGAGTGGTATCTCATGTCGCTTCCAAATAAGGATTCAATTTCCATGTAAAAAATAATAGTAAAAAATTGATAAATTATGACTCTTTTTGTAGGAGGATACAGATATAGCTGATTTTACATAGATATTATTTTCTAACGGAGTGAATTGATACTACTCATAGCTATCGACCAATATTGTGGTGTGTATTGGTTGTAACTGACAATGTGAATTTAAAATTTCAAATGGATATAACCATGGTCAGTATTAATGGTTTTAACTAAATTTTGATATTTCCATTAAAATGGTATCTCTCTTTGATTTTGGATCATGTGTGTGGTTATTAAATTATGTGTTGATTTGTAAGGTTGCTTTCAGATTTGGACAAAAATAAAATGAAAGTCTTGATAGTTTGTTGATGTAATGAGCTTAAAAATTTAAAATTATATGCTTTGAATATATATCTATATCAGTCCATGGCAACTACTGCTTAATGATAAATAAGCCGTGAAACTACTTTGATCATATGGAGCTTATTAGTTGCATCATGATTACTACTAGTTTTGTGTATGTGTTCCATTATGTACTAGTTAATGTGTGGTATTTAGGCTTATGGCCAGTGTGTGTGTGTTAAAATCATGTATAAACATACATATATATGACAAAGTCGTGTTATGTTTAAATATTTCAGCCTAACTCTTGTAAAAATTAGAACAAATTCATGTTGGTTTGGATGGCATTAATGGTTTTTTTTTTGGAAGGTTAAACAAGTATTATTATACCATTTCTCTCATTCCTTCTCTTTCTCCTTCCAAATCGAGGTACGTTAGGGTTTTCTCTCCCCTAATGGCACACGTGTTCTATGGACCTGTATTAGAGTATAGTTCACACTATGATTCTTATGATTGATGTGCTTATTGACGGTCCAGTGCTGTTTCAATCTCCTCCTAACAGCACTTAACATAATCATAAACTAGATTTAGCTCAGCCATTTTGTCTTGAAGTTTTTCCTCAATCTCATTGGGAAGCTATTCATGTAGTGGCTGAAATATGTTTGTTTTTTTATGATCCAAACACACTCAAACAAACAAGAACAGTGACCAATAGCTAGCCGCAGAAGTTACAATAGGTGTAGCTAGCCTATGACAAGTGTGTTTGTGTTAAAATTTAGGTCATACAATTCTTTTTAACAGGTGTAAATCTAGCTCCCATTCTCACGATTTGTTTGTAATTTAATTTTGTTGCTTTTGCGCTCTATCTACCACTTTATGCGACTTAGTATAAAACCAAATATAAATATTAACTTACTGAATTTTTCTGTTACTATCAAATACCATTAAAGCAAAATTACAAAATTAGACCCTCCCTCACAAGAAACAAAATTTTAAGAATTTATTAATCATTCTAATCGATTGCAATAGGCTGCCAACATAGTTAATTGAGAGTCGATAATTCAAAGAGCATTTCATTTTATTTTTGTCCAAAGCTGAAAGCAACCTTACAAATCAACACATAATTTCATAATCACACACATGATCCAAAATCAAAGAGAGATACCATTTTAATGGAAATATAAAAAAATAAGATGTTTGGATACAATTGAAAATCAAAAAATAAAAGTACATGAAGCACCAGATTTAAAATTAGATTCCTCATAAGTACAAATAATTCTTTGAGACTACGCTTTCATGAGTACAAATAATTCTTTGGGAGCTCCGAGAATTAGTGGGGTAAAACCATGTATATCTCGATTGCGAGAAAAATATATAATGCAGCTAAAAGAGCATAGGCAGATTTAATAAAGCAATCCCCACAAAAATCTATAAACTCTACCATGTTTGAAGGCTTTTCTCTTAAAAAAGACTTTAGTAGTACTACACTTATCTGTTTCCCATTGAAAACTTTAAATCACCCATTAGCTGTTTTGATTTTGATTTTGATTTTGATTTTGATTCCTTTCCTAGTGCAAAGACATGTAGTATCCGTATTCACCTTCACATAAAGGTGGTGTCTTTGGTTTGATTGTAGTGCCAGAGTTTTGGACCAAAAAAATCAGATCCACCTCAAAGAGAGAGAGAGAGCTCTCTCATGTAGCCTTTTCAAAACAGAGCAAAATACAAAGAAATATTGTCAGTGTTCCCTCAACCTCTTCACTCCTCATTTATGAAACCTGTCTTTCTTTATTTATTTGACATCAAAGCTCTATCAAGTGAAATTCTCAACTCAACTCACAATATTATATATATATATATATATATATATATATATATATAATATGTTTTTGGAGTAAGTGTTGTGATTCTGTACACAATAGGAGATTATTTATTATCTATTATTAGAAAATCGAACAGATAAAATGAGAAACTTTGGGAATACCCCCCCTAAGGTAGTGTGTTTAATTATGGCATTCATATTAAGTCATCAATTTAATATGTATGTTCCACAATATATTTATATATATGCACGGGTGTAGAATATATTAGATAAAAAAGTAGTGTTACTCTTCAATTTATACAAAAAGTAGTGTTACTCTTCAATTTAGTTCTAACTTCTATTTCTACTTTGATTCCAAATAATGCAAAGAGGTGTCATATTCTGATCTGGTATAGAGAATGCTACTCAAAACCTAATTCTCAGAAAGCTTAATTTCTCTATTAAGCTCTCCTCTTCGCACTTCTTCAGCTCTCACGGCTGTTGGGGAAGTTCTTGAAAAATCGGCAAACTCTCTCTCATCTCCCAGAGAAATGCTGCCCAGAATTGACGAGAGTGGCAGGTTTTGCAGCCCCAAAGCCGCCAGAGAGATCACCTTGTATGTCCCCCTCTTACCAATTTTTGTTTTTCTGTGTGTGTATATATATAGAAAGTTCGGGCTATTTGTTTTGGTTCTTTGATGGGTTGAAAATTGCTTGAATTTCAATGTCAGGATAATTATTTATGCGGCGTGTTTGGAGGGTTATGACCCAATTCGGCTATTCAAGAAGAGAATCAACGCCCGAAGAGGTATTAGTATTACCAATGCTATGTCTTGTTTTATGACAATATGTTTATCTTTTTGGGTTTTTCTGCATCCCTTTTGATAAAACTGAATAAGTACTTAATTTATTTATTTATTATTATTTATATAACTGGTGTTTAGATAACTACCTACTGCTTTATATTTTCTCTTTTCATCTCGTTAGAAACTAAATAACTTCCAAAGCATCAGTCTTGGACAGAATTTTGATCGAAATTTACTTCTTTCTTTCATGCTCTCTTTCTTTTCCCGTAAATACAATTTAGACGTAAAGGTCATATAACAGTTTTCCCATTATTGTTCGTGTCTTGTATTTTCAACTGAATTTGGGCTTAGGTATAAAGCAGCTTGCACTCTTCACCGGTTGGGGGGGGGGGGGGGGGGGGGCGCGGGGGGAACTTGTAAGCATATCTAGAAATTTGTTGTTTAAAACCATTCAAATTTCATGAACAGATGGTGAAGAAATCTTTTCCATTTCTGGTCATTGCATGGCAATATCTTAGACTAAATTTTTTAATCGTTTAAAAATGTTAACATATTCAATCAGTCTACTAAAAAGAATTATTTATCTAATTTATTTAAATGTTGGTAATTAGCAGACACCAAGGCCATCACTGACATGCTCTAAAATGCTATGTTTCCCTAGTGAAAACATTTACCAAAGACTTCCAACCTTGTAAGCTAAGGCACAAATCATAGCATAACCATGAAGATTTGTTGCTTCATCTCTGAGTCACAGTCCAAAGATCCAAACAGAGTAGCTTCTTCCCTTTTGTTTTATATTGAGAACTAAAATCTTTATTAGTGATTCTTAACACCCAAGATATTAATCATGAAATTATTATAAAGCATTTTCATTTAATTGAACCAAACTCAAATTTTATATTTAATTACATTTCAACCACTAAACCATAACAAATATAGTATGTATGAAAAACCTGTTTTTAATTTAATATTGTAGAACCAATACTAGTAATCTTAAA